CCATCCCTCTTCTGTTCTGTAATGTGACTTGTCCTTTTCATGTGTGTTCATTTTTTTAAAATTGTATCCTTTGGTATATATGGTTGTGACTATTTTCTTCCACTATTTGATCTGAGGAAGTGGGTCTGGCCCACGAAAGCTCATCATCTAATAAACCATCTTGTTAGTCTTTAAAGTGCTACATAGGCCTGTATTTTGTTTCAGCTACACCAGACTAACACGGCTACATTTCTATCACTGTCTGCAAATAGGCTGCCTTTATCCTTTGTTCTGCTGACTTTTCTCAGGCTTATCCTTTATTTACTTTCACTCTAGCTTCCCTTGTCACTGTTGAAGACTGCCCAGAACCATCCGATGGTGAGTAACAAGGATATTTCCTGCCAGTACTGCTTGCAATCAGCGTCAGACACTTTGGGTTGTTGGGGTAGCTGCAGTCTCTTAAAAAACCACAAGGAATCCCGAGACACCTTAGGGACTAACAGATGTATCAGGGCATACGCTTTCATGGGTAAAATCCACTTCTTCAGATGAATTGAGTGGAAGTTACAGAATCATAGAACTGGAAGAGACCTCAGAAGGTCATCAAGTCTAGCCCCCGGCTCTAGGCAGGACCAATTCCAACTAAATCAACCTGGCCAGGGCTTTGTCAAGCCGAGACTTAAACACCTCTAGGGATGGAGACTCCACTACTTCCCTAGGGAACCCATTCCAGTGCTTCACCACCCTCCTAGTGAAATAGTTTTTCCAAATATCCAACCTGGACCTCTCCCACCACAGCTTCAGACCATTGCTCCTTGTTCTGTCATCTGTCACTACTGAGAACAGCCTCTCTCCATCCTCTTTGGAACCTCCCTTCAGGAAGTTGAAGGCTGCTATCAAATCCCCCCTCACTCTTTGCTTCTGCAGACTAAACAGACCCAAGTCCCTCAGCCTCTCCTCGTAGGTCATATGCTCCAGACCCCTAATCATTTTGGTTGCCCTCCGCTGGACCCTCTCCAATGCGTCCGCATCCTTTTTGTAGTGGGGGGCCCAGAACTGGACACAGTACTCCAGATGTGGCCTCACCAAAGCCGAATAAAGGGGAATAATGACATCTCTGGATCTGCTGGCAATGCTCCTCTTAATGCATCCTAATATGCCATTAGCCTTCTTGGCTACAAGGGCACACTGTTGACTCATATCTAGCTTCTCATCCACTGTAACCCCCAGGTCCTTTTCTGCAGAACTACTACTTAACCGGTTGGTCCCCAGCTTGTAACTATGCTTGGGATTCTTCCGTCCCAAGTGCAGGACTCTACACTTTTCCTTGTTGAACCTCATCAGATTTCTTGTGGCCCAATCCTCCAATTTGTCTAAGTCATTCTGTACCCTATCTCTGCCCTTAAGCGTATCTACCTCTCCCCCCAGCTTAGTGTCATCTGCAAACTTGCTGAGGGTGCAATCCATCCCCTCATCCAGATCATTAATAAAGATATTGAACAAAACCGGTCCTAGAACCGAACCTTGAAGCAGGGGTGTCTATATAAGGAAGAAGCTGCTTGTGTTAATGAAGCTAATTTAAATCAGGGTGCAAGTGGATCATTCACAGCATTTGGTGTGGAAATGTGACTATCCAGAGAGGGGAAATGGTCTTTGTAATGTGTTAACCGGTTGAGATCCTTATTCAGTCCTAAGATCACCAGGTCAGGGTCTCTGTATTGGAAACCTCTGGGTAGGGAGGTGATTTTGGAAGCTGTAAAAAGAAGTGAGCTGCTTTTCTGTATCTTCAATGTGCCACAGCCAGAATTTAGTATGGTAGCTCTGTTTGTATTCTTAGCTTAGTTTAAAGTAAACCTTCCTTATCTTGTGAGTGACTGTATGAAATAAGATTAGAATAAGACATAGCAGATATTCTGAGCGGTGTCAGGTGCGTTGATCAGCACTCTCAATTTAACAGAAGTCTTACCCTTTAAAGGCTAGTCTTTGGGCAGCATTTGAAAGGAACATAACTACGCAGCTGAGCCAGGGATCAGCTGTGTGGTGGCTGCCCCTTTGAAATGCCACCTCAGCATTTCAAAGGGGCAGCGCAGTGAAGCCCAGGGGCAGCTAGGGACTCCCCAGCTGACCCCGGGCTCCGCACAGCATTTCCCCAAAACCCAGGATCAGGTGGGGACTCCCCAGTTGACCCCAGGTTCTGCTCAGCGTTTCCTGAGAACCCAGGGACTTGTGATCCCAGGTTCTGGGGAAATGCCGCTCGGAACCTGGGGTTAGCTGGGCACTCCCCAGTTGACCCTGGGCTCCACACGGTATTTCCCCAGAGCCTGGGATCAGGTGGGGACTCCCCAGCTGACCCCGGGCTCCGCACAGTATTTCCTGAGAACCCAGGGTCTGCCGATCCTCGGTTCTAGGGAAATGCCACTCAGAACCTGGGGTTAGCTGGGGAATTCCCAGCTGACCCTGGGCTCCATGGTGCTTCTGTGTTTTAAAGGGGCAGCACTGCACAGCTGAGCCGCAAATCAGCTGTGCGGTGGCTGCCCCTTTTGAAACACCACCTTGGGGTTTTAAAGCAGCAGCCACAAGGCTGATTCCTGGCTCAGCTGGGTAGCGCTACCACTTTGAAGTGCCCATTCTTCCCCTCTTCCTCTGCTGCCTCTCTCTGCTGGAGGCAGCAAGGGGGGGTGGGGAGAAGTGACTAGTTAACTCGACTGTCCTATAAGCTTTTGCTTATCAGATAGTCAACTAGACCTTAACATCCTTAGTGTCAACCTGTACAGGCAATCTGACACAACTGTAAGTCACTGTTGCAAAGCAGACCAGGGCCAGAATGGTGCTAAATGCAAAGATGTACCTGGCCTGTAGAAAGGATGTCCTTTCCAATTCAAGACGCAAGTAATAATACCGGCAGGGCTTCTAGGATTCTGAGGTGGGATTAGAGTGCTCCAGTGTTGTAGCAGCTTTTTACACTAAAGCTTGAGCAGCAGAAAAAAGAGAGTTCCTAGCACACCTCAGACTTTGTTCTCCTTGTTCCTGTACACGTCTGATTAGTGCATGTAGGCTGCGTCTAGACTGGTATGATTTTCTGGAAATGCTTTTAACGGAAAAGTTTTCCGTTAAAAGCATTTGCGGAGTAGAGCGTCTAGGTTGGCACGGATGCTTTTCTGCAAAAGCCCT